GTATTTGATAATGCCTGACATATTTTTGATGTTTTCAGTTGGTAATGTTTATTATTAATAGACTTCTATGCATTTCATTGCTCATTTAAATGGAATAATAATAAAGAAATGTTTATTTACTTTTTGTCTTTTTTTTCTTCTATCGCATGCTAAGTATGTTAATATTTATAATTTTCCGCGAACAAAGCAAAGCAATTAATATTCCAGTATAGCAACTTAAGCTGTTACACTGCAATATTAATTTATAAGGTATTTCGCCCGCCTTCCTAGTATGCTTTCGTGGTGTAGTGGTTCTGCACGCTGGGCCGGTATTTCAGAGGTCCGTGGTTCCATTCCCGGCGGAGGTGGTTGCTAATTTTTCAATTCTCCTGCTTCCAAAAAAAAAAAAAAAAAAAAAAAATAAAAAAAAAAAAAAAAAAAAAAAAAAAAAAAAAAAAAAAAAAAAAAAAAAAAAAAAAAAAAAAAAAAAAAAAAAAAAAAAAAAAAAAAAAAAAAAAAAAAAAAAAAAAAAAAAAAAAAAAACCTAATTTCTCTACAGTGGCGCCCGAACTAAAAGAGTGGTGGATGATGATTTCTCCCTACCCAGGATTTGGCGATTGGATCCCCTAAAAACCCAGTCGCCCCTTAAAAGGAAGAGTATATAAGGTATTTCTCTCTCCTACCTAGCGTGCCTTCGTGGTGTAGTGGTTCTGCACGCTGGACCGGTATTCCAGAGGTCGGTGGATCGATTCCTGGCGAAGGTGGTTGCTAATTTTTCATCTTTACTGCTGCCAAAAATCCTAATGTCTCTACAAATTAACTACGCTCAATTTACAGATGTAACCCGTGTAAATTGCAAATCATTAAACAGGTCCATGATCTAAATGAGTTATAATGAGAAACAGGTGAGCTCTTCATTTAATTCATTCATTTAATCACTCATTCTTTTGAAACGTGCTAAGCAACTATTAGCAAAATTCGAGTAATTTTTATATTTGAATGGATGTTGCAATGTAAGAATAAAAACCTTTCCTAATATCTTATTTCTGTATGCAACAGCTGCGAAACAAATCTAGCTTTAATAAATATCAGAATTCAGCTTTACTTTCGCCTTCATTTCAAAAGGAATTCTAGGGTAAAAGTCATAAGCTCTTATTCTTCAGGGTGGACTCATGCTATTGCAGCTTGGAATGGAATAAACCTTTTTTTTTATTGTAATTAGCGTTGATTTAAGCTTAATGTTGGCAGTTTTCAAATTTGGACATTTTCCTCTTTTAACACCATGATCTTAATTTTAATATCAGCTCATGTGGCACTTATGCATTTGCAAGGGAAATGCTATTTTCAAAAAAAGATTTTTGTAAAATTTTGCTTGTATTAATAATTGCATAATGTGGAGAGATTCGCTTTTAAATTAAATAATAATAATAATAAACATAAAAAATAAGCCATTCTCTCGTCGAGATTCGAACCACTAATCTCCTATTGAAAGTCAAATGTGCTACAACAGGGTGCGGCAGCGTTCATAGCGTAATTTGACTTGCGTAGTACAATGGCGTACTGCATGAATGCGCGCCAGCTCGTGCCGCATTCGTGTACTAATGAGCTGCCATTTCGAGTGTGACAGTGATATGAATCGGTGGAGTGCACAGCATCGTGTCTTTGCTGTTGAAAGTTATTTCAAGAATAACTACTCTGTTATTCGTACCCAGCGTCTATTTCGGCAACATTTCAACCTGGGGCGTCATGGGAAAATTCCAGATTGACGGACCATTGCGACAGACATTTCCAGGTAGAATAATTTCCCATTTTGGTGACATTTCCAGGCCGTCTCGCTCATCTAATCTTTCATGGGCAGACATTTTCGTTTTGAGCCACCTGAAGCAAGAAGTTTTCCGAACACGTTCTGCCACCATTCTTGAGTTGAAGGATTGCATCGGAACTGCCGTGGACAGTGTCCCAGGGAATACGTTACGCCGAGTTATGGCAAGCTTCCAACGCCGCCTAGATTAATGTATTGTGCAGAAGGGGCATCATTTGGCAGGCATCATATTCAAAAAGTAATCCACGCAATGGACAATGACTTACACACTGGTAAATGGCATACCTTTAACTATTAATTGACATAAGAGGTAATAAATAAATTACAGTTACTGCCTTATGGTGTGTTTTTAATATCCTACTATGAAAGCTGCCGCACCTTTAACAACGACAGCTTTCACTGGGACAATGCTATAATACCTCATTAAGTGACTGGATATACTTACGCATGGTTAAAAAACTGCACTGAAAATGTATATATCTTGAGCTGCATTTGGATCAATTTTGTACGCTCTTCTACAGTGCTTTAAAAATTTCTAACTCAGAAAAAGAAGTACCCTTAGTTAAGATGTTGTGTTAGGGCTAGGAAGAGAGTGTTGAAGCCATCATTGAATCATAAACCTGTTGATTAATGAATACAATTTATTATTTCTTTTGCTCATTTTGCATTTTTATGCATTTGAGCACGAATGTTAATTACATAAAAAATATTATATAGACTCTGAAATATCATCAGCACACATCCCAAGGAATTATTACTCGCTTAGGTAAGACTTCAACACTAACGCCTCCATTTTCTAAGAAACGCTGTGTAGAGTTGAAAGTAATCAACAAGAAACTGAAATACATCAAAGGCGTTTAATACATGAACCCATCAATTTACAACTTATTAACTGGCACAAAGTGGCTGCAAAAATGTATGCATTTTCGCAGAAAGCTTATCTTATTTTATTTTTATTCGTATATAAATTAGATTACGAAAACTGAAACCATATGAATTTTTATTTTTGAAATGCATGCGTTTTTTTCTTTTTAACTAAAATATTTTTAATAACGAGTCTTTTCTGAAGAATTTAAAAGACAAAATGTGAAATGATGAATTATGAATCGAATAATCTGAGGAAACCTTTACCTAAGGATGAATTTTGCACAAGAGGGTTATATTTTATTCTAATTATACTGAGGTATTTAATATTGCTTCGAACTTTTTTCTGAAGGAAAGCTTAAAAATTATACAACATCATATTATTCATCTCTTTATTTAGAGTTTTACAAATGTTCTATAACTAAAATCTACATATCTAAGCACACAAATTTACAAATAATTTAATGTTGAAATCCATTAAGTTTTAAATAAATATTTACATGTTACTTAATGATAAAATCTACTTGCACCTGTATAAAGACTTACAAATTGTGCAGTTACGAAATACATCTGACTCTGAATAGAGGCATATAAAATGCTCAGTGTTGAAACTCCGAAAACTCAATTCTCACGAAACGAAACTCATTCGTATGTTTAAATAAAATAAGAAAATCTGATACATTGCAAATATATTTCAGGTATGTCATATTAAAAAAGATTATATATGCACAGCTATTTATAAATATGCATATCTGAAATACTTACATTTCTGCATATATGTTGCTGAATAATTCGGCATAATATTTCACCAATTTTTGGGTTTTATTCAAATTTGAATTTAGCAAAATATAGTGCAATGTAATAGTTTTCTACTTTATTATACACGTATTATAAACAATTCTCAAACAAATTGCTTTCTACATTCAGTAATATCAATAAAAGTAATGTAGTTTTTCACACATAGAAAATAGGAGTTTACTTCAACTATACACGTTGCAACGACTATCAACATTTTATACGAAATTCATACAAGGAAACTGTTTCGAAATATAAAGCAAACATTTTATACAATGAGAAGAATTACATATAATCTGAAAAATCTACGAATTCATTTGTACTTTTGCGAGATTTACTTGATTTTTATATCAAGTACGGTTTGATACATATACAGTTTCATACATATACAGTTTCATACGTACACAATTCATACATATACATATATCTAAACATGGAATCATACATATTTTCAGTAAAAAAAACCCCAAGCACTACAGTTATTGGTACCAGCAGCTCATAAATTAAAATTAATACTTGTTATTTAGTTATTTAAAAGGATCAAACATTGTTAAAAATATTGCAATACTAAAAATTATTGAATAATCTGCTTAACTAAGGTTAAAATCAGTAAGTAGTTCACCAGAAGTTTTAAAAATAATTTTGAGTTCCTAAAAAATACTTTTATGTCACTTAGAATAAAATAATGGGCTGTACATAACTCTACCTGCATTGAAATGGCTGTATCAATGAAATACGTGTTTCAAGCGTGTATAAAAATATCGTATAAATGCATTGATATATCAAAAGCTTAAAAAAATGCGGTCTTTTTAATGTTCATTATTGCATTAAAAATGTCAGAGACTAGAAAAACGCTTTACAACAGTACCTAGAACAATGGTGTGCATTTTAGGCAGCCATTAGTTGATTTTCTCCAGACCCGATTTACTGAATGATTAATTTCTTCAGTTCTCTAAATTACTAAACATTTATATACAAATCGTTTCTAAAATTTGTTGCAAGAGATCACTGTTTTAAATATTGATCGTCATAGTTTATTTATTAGTTTTACATGCTTTAAATTCAATTTAATCTCATTACTTTTAAGTTTCAGAAGAATTTATAGTACATTTTCAGTAAAAATAAGCTTTTGAATAGTGCTTTAAATCTCTGTTATTAAGTAATCATTTTATTCGGTTGAATTGTTACAATACAGTATTCCGCACACTGAATTTTTACAAAAAAAGTAATATTTCAAACATTTGCAAATTCATTGGCGTCTTAAAAAGATTAAAAACTTAAGTTTAACTTCACTTACAAAAGAAAAATAATGTAAAGACATGAGCTAATAATATTTAACATATTTGATAGTGTTTATTAAGAATTACGTAAAGTTCCATGACTTCTGAAAGCTATCTGAAGATGTTAAAAGTGCTATATCAAAAATGAAAACTCAGCATCTTTTATTCCTGCAGCTGAAGAAGGTTCTGTTAACTCCTGCAGCTGAAGAAGGTTCTGCGAAACTGTAGTCCTGCAGATTGGCGCAACTTGCAATGATTTTTATTGCTCTAGTCGCTTTAATATCTGTTCTTCGTAGTGTTATTTTTGCTATACCAGAGGATCTTATAAATTTTTCGATTATTTCTTGTGATTTCTTATAGGGAAACGAATGTTTAAATTGCTGTTTCACGACTGTATTCTTTCCTGAGCAAGAAAACAAGAATATCACTTAAATATATGACACCTTCCCAAATTTTACAAATGCTAAATATTAAAACCTCATATTTATCAAATGGACACAATTACTTGCTGCAACTAGTCAAACTGAATGACATTCATTATATACATATTTTCTATTAACGCATGGCATAAAATTATTTTACTTATCAGCTTCTCTATGTTAATAAAAAGTCAAACCACTGATGAATAAAAAGTATGTTTTTCCTTTTAGAATTACTGAAAAATTAATTAAAACATTTCTGGAGTAAATCATATTCCCTTTCTTGGAAAAGAATTGTTTAAACTCTGTCATTTAAATAATTTAAAGCAAAATTTATAAATTTATATGATTCATGGTCAAATGGGAAAGCACTTCTGATGCATGTTTTTTAAAGTAACATAGCATTTTCAAAGATTTTGAACGTTTTCAATTCAAGAAAGTTGTTTCTTTAGTTCATATTCAGTTCAGTGCAACCCGTATCTTCTATAATCAAAAACAGACTTCGTTCACGAGCTCCTGAGCGTAACAATAATATAATTTTAAATGAAGTATCAGTATCCATTAAACATATACCGAAAAATTAACAAAATCAAACACCCGAAACCTGGCATATTAGTCAGAAGTTACATCGTCCCTTCTTTGACGTGAATGGAAAATGTAATGTTTCAATAGTTTAACATGCATTTAAAATGAACACAAACCTTTCAAATATTTCACATCCAGCGAATGCAGAATTCTTTAACACATTTATTATGCTTATTGTTCAGCAAACGTTAATCTAATACTACGTATTTTCTGACTACATTGAACAGAAACACCTTCTACTACAGAATTAGATTTTGGCACAATATCAGAAACGATTAAGAAGTGTAAAGCAATCAGTACGCTCTATTTGAACCGCACAAGCTTTATGGTGAACATTCTTAAGCTTCTGATGTTAACACGTTATAAAGCGTACATCGTTTGGTAAGTAAAGACAACCGAAAACTCATGGCATCTTAAACTAGTATTCACACAGAAATTGATACAACATTCTTAATCCAAGAGAATCAAAAATGCTTTGAACGTAAATATCTTGCGAATACACTGCTCTCTCTTAGAGAAGACAGTATTTTGGTAAATTAATGCATAAGATCAGTATATAAATTAATTAGTTACATATGTTTTTGTATGAATTCTTCCATACCTCAGCAAAAGTAATAAATGAATGAAATCTAAAAAATATACTCAATGGTAAAGTGGTTCTAACTATTACTGTCCAAGCCATGAACCCGTAAAATCCTAACTGCACAGGACTGGCTTGCACTTTCTGCATTTCAAATGTATAGATAATCCAGAAGGTTAGATTCACAATCAGGAGAAAGGTGATTACTTGGCGACCGGGTTTGGTATTGTCATGCTCGGGAAGGTAAGTTGATCTGCATGTGATATCTGCTACAAAAAGTGATTGAAGGGTAACCTGAATGATAGTTAGGCAGCTAGTGATCATGACAAAGAGATTGGGAGTATAGTGCAATGGTGAAAGAGTACCTGCAATTATGCCAAACATGGCGTATGTATAGAGACCAAAGGCACTAACTCGAAGCAAAAGGTCTCGAAGATGGTCTTGACGGTCATAATGGAAACGAAGAGCCCGAACTCGAAAGAATCCGACAATAATAGCGAATATGGAAATAAGCATTATAATAGAATGAGACAAGTCGGAGAGATAGACAGCTAGAAGATTAAGATCTTCATGATGAATGAAAACAAAGAAGACGATCAAGCAAATTGTAGAAATGACCAACAGAAACAAACCCAAGAATAGGCCGCGACTTGACCCCGCGCAGTTCACTCTGTGGAAAGACTGAGAACTCGAGGTTCTCGATAAAGCATCTTCGGCGCTTTGTTCAATTCGAAACATAGGGTTGTTACCGATATTCTTCCACATGACATATAGAACAGCAGCAGCAATCAAACTGTATTCCACAATAAAGGGATACAAAAAAGGTGATGCATCAGACACGATGGATCCCATGATATTTTGCTTTTCACAGATATTGCTGAAATTCACTGTATTGTTGCCATCATCTGGAAGGAAAGAATATGGAATTATATATGAAGAATAATATTAAATACATATATTATAAAAAGCTTAATGTATATTGAAATGAAAACTGAAAGTTATACTTAAAACTCTCTAACCTTTTATTTTTATCAATAATAAATACTCAGATATTAACAAAAACCGTACGACAGAAAGCAGAAAAGACTTTTTTATTAGAAATGGTCTAATGATGAAAATAATGTTATAACTTTTACATCGCTAGAGAACAATTAGAAAAATAATTTTATTTTTTTATATCATGGTAATAATATACTCTTTTCAATATGGGAAAAGAGTATATTTGGAGTCACAGCTAGTTTTTTTTCTGATGCTTCAAATTTATCCACCAAATTTAATTTAAACCACCAAATTAAATTTAATCCATACCCAAAGTTTTGCAAAATTCTGAAGGTAAGTTTTATCGTAAAATACTTATGTACTTGTTTGTTTTACACCCTTTCCTAAATAACTGTTTTCATTTACTATATTTTTTTAAATGTAGTCACTTCCCTTAATACAAATCCCACTTCTAAATTCCTCTTCAAATAAAGTATTCTTAAAATTTGAACCTACTTAGAGATCAGCTAGGAACACTAGATTTCAGTTACAGCTTTGCAATTTTCTTTAAGAATTTATTTTTCTTTGGAGATTATTTTTCTTTAGGTAGTCTTGTTATGATCATTCATAAATTTTAAATGCTACAAATTTTTAATTTCATAAGAATGTTCCAAATAAAAAATTTTATAGCAAGTTGGAAAGTTTCATAATATGACATTTTGGAAGTGGGAGTTTGGTCTTCTTGTAATTTTTAACACGATTTTCCACACATTTCTTTTATCTTATATTTATTTAAATAATGCCTTAATCAGGCAATTTTATTGCATCGTGTCCTACTTTTTCTTCCAATAGTTGAGCCCTATTTAAAATTTATCGATAATAAACAAAAGTAAAATCTCGTTGCTAAATTTCAAGTTAGAAAGGAGGAAAAGTTACAAAAACATATAATCTGGTGTTAAAGGTAACTACATGATGTTTCAAAACTTGTTTAGGGAGAGATCTTAGCCTATTTTAGCCCATTGTTTATCATAATACCCCTAAGCCAGGGCCGATTGAGACAGTATGTGTCAAATATTGACAAAATATTTGCATATACCGGACTCTATTCAAGAAGAGACGACCACCACTAGTATAAAAGTTTACATTATCAGTTGTGGCAACGCGGAGCAGGAGCAGATGACAAGAAAGTAGTCTACGAGCAGTGCCAGAGAGGCTTAGTGCTGTCTAGAAGTCGAAGCGCCAATCCTGAATGGTTGAGAGATGTCTGTTTAGAGGGTCGAGGGGCAATTCAAGTGTCCGGGGAAGTGAAAGAGTGGATCATGAGATGGCCATTTCCAACTAAGACAGCAGTTTCTTGTGTTATGTTGTCTTTCTTCAAGATTCAGTTTGCTCAGGAAATTAAATCTTATTTCTGAAGCCATTTCTTTCTCTATAAATCCAAAGATTAGAAGTCAGATAATTTCAAGCATTAAGTATGAGTGAGAGAGAACTATGGGTGTAAGACAGGTAAGTTTAAAGCCTAAGTTCCGAAAGTTTGGGAACCAAGATACAGCGTTCTTTCAGGAGCCCCAGATGCTCGTTTTCTTTGCTTTTATGGTGAAAAAAATATTATTATTAGAAATAATGGGATGATTTTCGAGGTTGCTGAAATTTGAAGGGCTCGTGAGCATAAGCAGTAGTTACAGGTAAAAACATCCTGGACAAAAACGTCGCAGAGAAAACAACGTAAGGAGAAAGTACCTTGCTAGGAAGGGAGAAAAAAAACATCAAGGAGAAACTTCGTAGTTCTATAACATCGTCGTAAAAAAGAAAGTGATGACAAAATTCCACAGCATGAAAATATCGTCGTACAAACATCATGGTACAAAATAAAGCTACAAAACGTCTAATGACAAAACCATACGTGAACTACGCATTTTACGCGTTTAAGGCGTTAAGAATTCTGCAAAACAAAAAATCTTTTGCAATTGCAGAGCATCATTTTGCTTACATCGAACTCTCTCTAAGAGGATCATTTACGGTTTCATATGATTTTGGCCTTCTGTTGAAGTAGTCATCTTGTAAATATGATGTTTGAACGAATATTTTAATTTATATTTTTAGAAATATTTGTAACCAGGGTTCCCAACATTTTAATTGCAGAGAAAATTGTTGTGTTTCGCTATGAATTTTAGATGTTGTTTAATGTGCAGATCGAAATTACTCATCATTATCTTTTGAACTCGTTGTGTATTTGCAACGTACATCAGTAGTTTTAATTTACGATTTTCATATTTTGAAGCAATTTTATGTTAGATGTCTGAATAATCACAGAAGAATTTAATATTCTGTTAATCCTCCAAAAATTATTGCTGGTTTGCTATTAAAATGTTTAAAACTTTATTCTTTTAAAACAATTTTTAAACAGGGCTTCAAAGTTATCAGCTTGTTTGATTGGTTTAGATTTATTTGCTAAATACCATCTTCCCTATTCCTTTAAGATTGAAGTACAGCAAATGTAAATAACAATATACAGTAAAGCCCACCTACGACTACAGTCAATTTTGGTCTTCTAACCGGGTGGTTGTTTTAAAGAGATGGTATTCAATATCAGTATTTATTTACATTTTTGTAAATACTAGTCACATTCATCGATATTCACCTATGGAAGTGGTCGCCTCAAGAGAGCTCACAGCAAATTCGAAGCAATTCATCTACATGTCTCTTTAATGACTGAATGCTAAATTACATGTTAATCTTCTTCTTCGTTTCTAAATTTGTTTATTAGCTTGCAGTTTTTTAATTATGTATTTGATTAGCTAGTCATGGAATAAATTACGAGAGAATACCACTACACACACATAAGTACATATTTATAGATATATCAGAGGATAATTTTTAATAAGTTTAAGCATTTGCAGGTAAATTTGTAAGCTTTCGTGGAAAGCTTTACAAAGGAAATGTTTAATGTTTTGTTTCTTGAAATTACATTTTTGTTTCATTTTACTGCTTAGGAAGAAAATCATGATTTATTTTTTATATAAAAATTTATTTCAAAAGTCAGTTGCATTATTTAATTTATATAATGGTGCCTCTCTAAGCCGACCACTTAGTTCCGATTGATGTTCGTCTACTGTGAAGGTGGTCATTTAATTTACATAATGGTGCCTTTCTAAGCTGACCACTTAGTTCCGAGTGATGTTAATCTACTGTAAAGGTGGTCATTTCATCGATGTTCTTTACCGATATTTATTCATATTTTTAGAAACACTGGTCACTTCCAGATATAGTCCTTTGCTGAAGACAGCTGCCGTAAGAGCATTAGAGGTCAGCCTTATTTATGAAAGCATGTATCTTAAACTAAGTTCATAATATAATAAATATTTAATTTCTTAAAGAGAAAACATTTGAAAAACATTAATACGCTTTAATGAAGCTTCGTAGACGAATATTTTTGTAGTCAGACATTTACTCATTTACGGATCCATATCATATATGTACAATATTTTTTATTTCCATTTGTAACCACATACATGCGTAAAAAATTATTCGTACAAGAAATATTAGTTAGATCGACTTAGTTCTGTTTTATAAGCAGAAGTAGGGATTTCTAGTACTTAAACATGGGATAAGAATTTTCGATACGTTCCCCCCCTTCCCCGAAAAAAAAGCATCTGTGGGATTTCGACTAGCATTTAGTAAAAACTACAATTTAGAATATAGTTTAAAAACTCATGCTATTAGAAAACGTCTGTTATCCTCCTTTGAATTGCTTTGGAGAAAAAATTGTGCGTAGCTCTTATAGATCAGGTATCGAGTTTTACGGACAAATAAAAAAAATTATATTTCTTGTGAATATTTTTCAAATATATAAAAAAAATTATGTTCATAGCAATGATTATTAGTTTTATTTTTAAGATAAAATACATTCCATATTTTTAGTGAAAATGATGAAGGTAAAATAAAGTACTCATAATTTTCCCAGGCATATTAAAAAAATTACTGAAACATGATGCTCAGGTCTACCATGCTAGCACAGGTCAAAAGTGTAACTTCACAGCTTTTTTAACTAGCAACCTTTTTATTTATCAACATTTTCAACCCTTTGATGACATTTAAAGAAATTAAATTTTCTGTGTAGTGACTGATTGTCATCACTTTCTAGTTCTGTAATTTATTTATTATTTTTTATGAATGCATCATTTTATATGAATATATTTCAGATAAAACACATCAAACTCCTCAGGTTTTTTTTTAAATAAAATACTTCAGAAATTCTGAACTCGAATGAAACTGTTAAGAGAACGAATGTTTAAGATAAAATTATTGAGTTCATATTGCTGTAAAGTACAAAAGGAATTTCCCCGTGAGTCATTAAAGTTACAAAATATGGAAACAAATTATTATATTTAATGGCTGCTGCATATTATGAGTAAAAACAAGTTTACTCATAATACGCAGCAGCTTTATTTTTAAAAGCACTTTATTTTTAAAAGCATTTACTTTATTTTTAAACGCATGGGGGAAGATATTATCAAAAATCTTAAAAAATAAGAATAAACAACATTTGTATTAAATTAGGGTACTGAGTTCGTATTAATGGGTTTCTTTTCTCCCCTCTCAAGAAAAATTGGGACGATTGAAAAAATTATAAACAGAATTCTAGTTTTTGCTGAAATTCAGCTTTTGTTGGAAAATAGATGGATTTGATAAACTGAAAGCAAAATATTTCTCCTGAGATCCATTTCCTTGTTTTCGACGTCTTCTATTGCAGACTTATGCCTCAAAAGTACCGTTTAAACAATAGAAGAACTGAAAACAATAAATTAAAAAAAAATTAGGTATTATAGTGTTTTCTTTTATGCAACGAAATGCCTTTATTTATCATTTCTTACACTTCCATTCAGTATTTTACTAGCATCAGAATCATAAATTAGCAATTCACCTG